TTAGTCACTAGTTAACCATAGAGGCCAGGCAGTAGTAGCACACACCTTTAATCCCAGCACCTGAGATGAGAAAACAGGAAGTAATATAGCTGGGCGGAGAGAGGAAGTGATAAGGCAGGGTGGAGACAGGAGTTTGGCCCCTTTTCAGCAGAGAAGTTGGTGAGGTAAGAGGTGGCTGTGGTTTGCTCCTTTGTCTCTCTGATCTTTCAGCATTTACCCTGGTATCTGACTCCAGGTTTTTATTATTAACACCAATTAGAATTCACACTACAGTGGGCCACTTGCTAGCCCACAGCTGAGCCATACCTCCGTGACAGTCCTTCTACTAGCCCTACAGCCACCCATGGGGTCATGACACAATTACTAGCCACAGGGGTCAGTGGAGTTCATCAGGGCCAATGCTGGACAGCACAGTGGAGGTATGACTTACCATGTTCTTATGCCAAATTTCACAGGTATGATCTCCATACCAAACCTATTTATTTTAGGATTTTACTTTCTAAGGGAGAAGGGTACAGAGTATTTCATCTTTACAGATTCAGTGGATAAACACTCAGTGAGCATCTGCTATATGCAAAGCTTTGGTGAGGGGGCACAAGGTTTACAAATATGCAGCATCTCTGCCTGATGGGACTCATTGCAGACAGGAAGACCTAGCAGGAAACTATTAGAGATCCTGAGGCGACTAAGTAGGTTGATGCGATTTTAGCTGAAGCATGAAGTAGAAAATTGGGAGTATGGCTCATGACAATTACAGAGCTAAAGAAGAAAGGCAACCGCAACAGCAATCCTGTCATGTTATTCATTTGCTGCTTAAGTGACTGGGTTATAAATCATCCTTTCGGTGATGCTGAGCATGCATGAAGTCTGGATCTATTACCAAGGCTATACCTTCATCACATGTCAGATTTGGACCCATGAAGTCTCTTGGCTCAGTTTGTTATGTCTTTAAGGTAATACTGAGGAGGAAGTGGAAAACAAGGATGGGTGAGAGAAAATTATATTTTAAGAAATCAACAGTAGTCAGTTTTGCTTAGTAATATGATATCAACTAGAAGCCCAAAACTTATTAAGAATTTAAGGTCATTGGTCATTTCTAATATACACCATCCTGCAAATCTCTATACTTTTCGGAAATTAATCCTCCACGTGAACTACTGTGTTTCTTTGTCCCAATGTGGGTTCCTTAAATAGAGTCATTCAAGAGCTAAAGCACGGGACTGAGCACTTGTGTTATGCAAAAGCAAGCTATTATCTGGCTTGCGCCGCACAATGCAGGAGCCCCTCGCACTCCAGAGTTTCGAGGAACACAATGGGAGAAGGCCTGAAATTAATTAGTGTTCTCAGCATGCAACAAAGATAAGATCCAGAAGCTTTTCTTGCAGTGAGTGGCACGAACATGTTCATATCTTCCTATCATGGGATCAGTTGTTGAGGGAGAGCTGGCTTAGAAATCTTTACCTTTTACAGAGCGCGCATTGGTTAGAAGTGGACTGGAGAACGCGATTGATACTGAATTACCAAGAATCCTTTATACACAGCTGATCTCACCGCCAAAGGCAAAGTAAATCACCCCAAACTAAAAATAATAATAACCAATGTATAAATAAATCATATCCTTTCTGTTTAGTATAAAGTATGAGCTTTACATTGATGGGGCAATTCAGTCTCACTTATTTCCTCCCCAGCAGCAGGGCCAGACTAGAATTCAACTTCCTGATGCTGCATGGGGGTGGGGGATGTTCTAGCCATTGAAACATCAACTAAACAATTCATAGTCAGGTGATGTATTCTTTTTTTCCCCCTGGTAAGACAGACAAGCTCATGAGGGGAGAGACCAAATCCATCTTTCTGTTTCTGGCCTGGAGTAGAATCTGACACACAAGTCCTTGATGCTTTTGGAATGAGTGGTTGAATAAATGCTTACTGTATTATTACAGGAATGCCAACAAGACGTGTTTGTGCATTAAGACTGGATGGAGGCATATCTAAAATGGGAGAAAGACTTGTCCTCAGCCAGATTCCAGACCACATGTGGAACTGGTGGCATCCTTGTGGGACTGGAGGGAGGCATACAGTCAGATTTTGGTTGATTTTGTAAGGTAGAAGTGTGTGGACTTGCCAGTGCTAGCAAGGCCTGCCAGCAGAACCCCACGAGTGCCATTTAGTGACCATGGTGGTGATTAAATGCAGCATGCTGCACAGTGGCTCCCTAGCTCTCTTTCCAACATATTCTCCTGGTTGAGTAGCTTTGAATTTGGGAAGGCAAGAGATGGCAGAGGTACTGTCCGTCAGTATCATCTGCTGCCATCTTTGAGCTGCCAGGATGACAGCTGGGGAAGAGTAGGATCAAGTTGACTGGCAGGATGCTTTAATCTAATGAGTTTGTGCACAATAATAGTATAATAAATAAGGCTCTAGAGGAACTTGGTTATCACTTGCATTCCAAAAGTGAGATATGGCCTTACCCGAAGCTCACAGAGCCATCTGTCATCAAATATTAGTCTTTGTGTCAATGGCTGGCCTGGCCTGAGGAAATGGAAAACATCAGCGGAGGGAGGTACACGATGACACCGTGTCTTTCAAAAAGACTTAAAGGGAACTACCTCAAGGAGCCAGAGATTTTCAGATGATTTTGAAGTAAATATCTACAACTACTCCCTAAAGCAGTTGGACTTGAAATCTTAGCTGCTGAATGCCAATGAGCCTTTCCATTGGACAGGTTCTGCCTGTCAGTTGAGTTAAGTTATGGAGTAATATCGTTCTTATCTGCCTGGATTTGGGGCTGGAATTATTGCAATCATTTTTAATGTGTTTTTGCCAGCTTTATCCAACTGATCCAATGAAATCTAACTGTCACCAGAACACTTTGCTAAGGATGCAGCCATTGGTGACAGGGATATCGAAAGTGGACAGAAGCTTGTGAATTAAATAAAAGCTGCTGGGATTTTCAGTTGCTTGGTTTTTGTCCTTTTTTGTTATTGTTTGGGGAAAGAGAAAGAAAGAGAATTGGAACCTAAATGAAATCTTGTCAACCAAAAACACAACTAAATGCTGAGCCTAGCAAATCCCACAGTAATGGAGAAAGTCAGAGAGGAAAGGGTGGTACACTGATCACTTTAAAAGAATTGGAAAGTAGAATAACAATTTATTAAAATGAAAAACATTCAAGAATAACCAAGATCTAGTGGCAGCAAATACAGGTAACTGTCTGGGCTTAAAGTCTCCATCCAAGACTTACCTTCTTAGGATGTATGCCTTGACAAATTATACTTGACTAGTTATAGGGATGGGTTTCAAAGGACAAAAACTTGTGTCTACAAATGTCACCCAATGTGTGGGGTTTGAACCCATGACCTTGAGATTAAGAGTCTCTTGCTTTACTAACTGAGACAGTCATTCTGGTGAGACCTCATGGGTGTAGCTTCTCATGTTACTAGGTGATAACTGTTAAAGTCACTTTTAGGAAGGAAAGTAGGAAGGAAGAAGCACATGGAAGTGAGGCAGGAGATTGTGGATAATGTACAGAAGCTGTGCATTCATGGTTTAGATCATGTTTTCACAACATTTTTTTTGTATTTTTACTTACTAGGTATATAATAAAAGAAATTGCTAAGTCTGTTTAATAAATACTGTATGTGATAATCACGTAGGGAGTGATTCTATTAGTAGATGTGGCCTTGTTGGAGGAAATGTGCCACTGTGGGGGCAGGCTTTGAGGTTTCATATATGCTTAAGTCATAAATACTCTAGAAAGCAAAGTGTTCATCTATGGAGTTGCTGCTCTTTGGATCCTATCCAAGTTAAAAGAAAAAGAAAAAACAGCAACAACTCCATAGATGAACAGTTAGATTTTATATCAGTTTGATAAACAATACAAACAGACATGAGATTTTCTATCTATGTCCATGAACTTGGTTTTCTGATTTTAGCTTTGAATTTTCTTTTTTCTTATTTAAATAAGTTCTCTTCCCTCTTCTCTTCTCATCTCCTCTCTTTTCCTGTCTACTTCCCTCCACATCCACTCCTCCTCCATCTCCATTCAGAAAGGGATAGGCCTCCCATGGGCTTACACAAAGCATGGGACATCAAGTTAAGGCAGGAACCAGATCCTCCTCTTAAATCAAGGTGGGGCCAGGTAATCCAGCATGTGGGGAAGGTACAAAAGCCAGCTAAGCACCAGGGAGGGGTCCTGCTCACCCTGTTAGAAGCTTTACTAAGAGATGAAGCTACACAATTGTCACACACGTGCAGAGGGCCTAGGTTGGTCCCATGTAGGATGCTGACTGTTGGTTCAGCATCCATGAGCTCCTGCAAGCTAAGGTCAGCTGTCTGTGAGTTCCCCCATCATGACTCCCCTGGCTGGTGTAATCCCTCATCCCTTTTCTTCCACAAGACTCTCAGCTCAGTGTAGTGTTTGTCTTTGGATCTCTGCCTCTGCTTCCATCAGTTACTGGGTATAGTATATCTGATGCTTTCAGTAGATGGCCATTCAGGTACCCTCTCAACCATTGCTAGGAGTCTTAGTTGGGGTCATTCTTATGGGTTCCTAGGGGTTTCCCTGGCACCAGGTTTCTCCTGAATCCCCAAATGCCCCCCATCAAGACTTCTTATTACTCCCCACTATCCTGACTTCAACCTACCTCCCACACCAAGCTCACCCAACCCATTCCCTGTAGTTCCCACCCCCCAATCCCTGCCCCCTGTTTACCCAGGAGATCTTTTCTATTTCCCCCTCCCAGTTAAATCCATGCATCCCTCTTTGGGCTCTCCTGATTATCTAGCCTCTCCAGGGCTGTGAATTGTAGGTTGGTTATCCTATCCTTTACTCCCAATAACCACTTATGAGTGAGTACATACCATGTTTGTCTTTCTGAGCCTAGGTTACCTCATTCAGAATGATTTTTGCTTTAGATTTTCTTAATTGCATCTACTCTTCAGGTGTACTGGGATTTTGACACCTGATTAATAAATCAGCTTTTTTTTTTTTTTTATTTCAGTTCCTTCTGGTGTTCAGCATCACCTGCACCCATGTCAGCATTCAGCATCTTGGGAAACAAAATTTCAAGACTTGGATACAAAATCCTTGATGAATGATCTTCATCGGAGGCTCTGGGAGCAGCTGAGGTGGGCAGGACACCTCAGGCCAGGACTCTTCATAGTAATGTAGTGTGAAAAAAAAATTAAAACTCGACTCATAAATCAAATTGTTATACGATCCAGCAATCCTACTTCTGGATATGACCACCCTCTAGAGTGAAAAAAAATCAGGAACATCAAAGAGATATTTGGGCATTTACAGTCATAACATCAGTCTTCACAAGCCAGAGTACAGAAGGAACTTGGCTGTTCATCCATAGACAAATCGCCACATAAAATGTGGTCTACATATGGGGCAGAAGCTCTTCGGTCTCAGAAAGGAAGGAGAGTCTTCACCATGAATGAAATGTGAACACATTGTTCAGAGTGAAACGGGCCACAAAAAGGGACAGGTACTAGATAACTGTCAGATACCCAGAGTGTGTGGGGGGGCGGGGGGGGGACGACTCACTGAGACAAAACATTAAAGCATGGTTGCCAAGAGGTGAACAGAAGTTACAGCTTAACCTCGGCGTCCGTTCTGCAAGGTGAATGTGCTTAAACCCGACACCATACTTTGTAGTGCTTAAAACGGTAAAGTTTAGGGTTTTATCAAAGTTTTTTCTTTTTGTCTTTTTGAAACAGGACCATATGAACAAGATCAGCTCTAGTTGCTGTCCAGGTGGGGTGTAGGATCCTCTCTCTTGAGTGCTTCAGCCTCGGCAGCAGAGGTCACCCAGATCAGTACAGCCCTGAAAGCAGCATGGGCCTCGGACACCAATATGGTTTCAGGTTTTCCACATTTCTTAATAAGTATACTCTTGACAGTGTGGGAGTCCCCCTTTCCTGAACTCCTTCTTAGTACTTCCTATGATCTGTCCCCCAAACTTTACAGTATGCTGGGTATGACTCAGCATCTTATTGTGTGTTTCTTTTGTAGTATACAGCATTATGAATTTGGTTTCCTTATTATGTCTACTGATTGTATTTTCTAGGAATTTCTCCTTCTGACTCTGATTTTTCCATGGAGTTGTATATTTCTCATTGATTTTGCAGATTTTGGCAAACAGGTATCTTACAAATGTCAGTGTTTCAACAATGGATTGTGACCTCACACTGTAGCAATTTTGCCACCCAAATGTTTTAAAGTTATATTTATTGACACTTTCCTTTCCCTTCATGAGTTTGTTTCTTTTCTGTTAATAAATTCTCTTTCTCCAAAGTCATGATAGTTGCCTTTTTTCTTTAAAAATTTCAAGTTTTCTTTTCCACATTTAACAATACTTGCCAACTCCTCCCCACTTCCCTTGTTTTCTTTTTGCACCCAAGCTGTTTTCTCTTGGTTCCCGTCATAGGGTTTCTAACTGTGATAAAACACCATGGCCAGAAGAAAGTTGCCGAGGAAGGAGTTCATCTGGTTTACTCTTCCACATTACAGATCATCATCAAAGGAAGTCAGGACAAGAACTGAAGGCAGGGACGTGGAGGCAGGAGCTGAAGCAGAGACCATGAAGTAATGCTGTTTACTGGCTTACTTCCCACGGTAAGACTTGTTCCACGGTCTTTTTTAAAAAAAAAAAAAAAAATCAAATACTTCGAAAGTTGTCTCTCTAAAACATTCAAAGTCTCTTTAAAATGCTCAGGTATCTCTGAAAATCCAAATCCTCTTTAAAAGTTCAAAGTCTCTCAACTGTGGGCTCCTTTAAAATGAAAAATAGCTTAGAAACTTTCTTATTCCAGGAGGGAATAACCAGGGCACAGCCACAGTTGAAGCAAAACCAAAACCGAGCAGTGTGAAGCTCAGTTCAGACTTCTGGGACACACTCAGGCCTTTGCGCAGCGACGGGTGTGGTAGTTCTGCTTCTCCGGCTTTGCCATCTACAGCACACACAGCTCGTCTCATTAGTTCAAGCCATCTCGACGCCACACCTGCTGCTGTGCTTACTACATTGTCTCATCTCCAAAACGCTGGGGTTGCCTGCTCCAACTGGGCTGCACTGTCACCACCAGCCTCTTCTGGGTTCTCTGCAGGAACCCTGACCTTGCCACATGGTACCCAGGCTCAACCTCTCTCCATCCTGGGGCTTCTACTGCACCTTCACCAGTGGCCTCCCCTGACCCCGTGCCAAACCTCAGCTGCTCTCCATGCCCGATTCATGCCTTTAAACCAGTACCACCTGTGAGTCTATTACACGACTTTGGCTGCCAGCACAAGGTACAACTTTAACTCTCTCTGGACTACAGATTCTGTGTGTTGACCCTGAGGAAATACTTCCCAAAGACTGTGCCATCATCAACAATAATGGTCTCTTCTTAATCATAGACGATTCTTCCAGCTGAGCTTAGCAGCATCCATTGCAAAGGTTTCACTTTAGTGAGTCTGGTCTTGTGTAAATCAGCAGATTATCCAACCCTTACTACCTAGAACCACATACTCTTAATGCAAAATACCACACAAATGGTCTTTGCTTCCCTCCAAAACATCATAAGTCAGGCCACTACCATCTGCATCACTCTGAACATTCTTATCTTTCAAGCCCCCACAGAATATCCCATTAAACCCTGAGTACTCAATGGCTTTTCTAGCTCCAAGATCCAAAATACTTCCACAATCCTCCCCAAACCAAGGTCAGGCCTGTTACAGCAATATCCCACAGATCAGGTACCAATTTCTGTCTCAGAGTGATAAAACACCATGACCAAAAGGGAGGAAAGAATTTATTTCATCTTACAGCTTCTAGTCCTTCATCCAGGGGAGTCAGGGTATGAATGTGGAGGCAGGGATGGAATCAGAAGTAATGGAGGAACGTTGCTTGGTTAAAAGATTGAGTTTGGCCCTAGTCCCCTCCTCAACTTACTTCTCAGTTGCTCTACCATACGACACAATATAAAGACCTTGCTATATGCTAGAACGTGAAGAACTCTATGGATTTCTGTTTTATAATTCCCCATGGCTTTCTCATAAAAATTTCCTTCCTTCCTTCCTTCCTTCCTTCCTTCCTTCCTTCCTTCCTTCCTTCCATTTTAAACGTGTATCTTCCCACCTCAAAAGATCTGGATTAAAAGTGGGTCAACCCACTTCAAATTACTTAAAAACCCACACAGGTGTTACCAGCTGCTTGAAATTTTATTTAATTCTAGGTGTCATCAAAAGGGCAACCAAGAACCACCACCAGATAATTTAATTTTAAAAATTATTATATATGCACACTTATATGTATATATGTTCACAGAGCCAGGAATTCCCTATGTAGACCAGAGCAGCCTTGAACACATTTCATATAAACAAATTATAAATCATGCAGTCTTCTGTGGCTTCCTTTCATTTAGCGTGGTATTTTCAAGGTTTACCCATGTAGCACACATCAGTTTCCACTCCTTTTTATTTCACTATGTGGAGAGATCTCACTGTTAATCACTTACCAGGTGATGGGCATTTATTTCCACATTATACTTGCTATGAATAACATTTCTATGGACATTTAAAACACACTTTGGAGTAGATATAATTTCTCTTGGAGTGGAATGGACAAACGGCAGGGCAAGTCTGTGGTTAACTCTTTGAGGGCTGTTTTCCAAAACTGCTGTACCGTATCCTATCCAACCCTTCCAGCAGCCTGTGTGATTTCTTCACATCTGTATCAACACTTGGATTGTCTCTTTAGAGCCCAGTGGTATCTCTTTGCGGTTTTGACTTGCATTTTCAAAGACTAAAAGCTTTTTATTGTGCTTACTGGTCACCTGTATCTTTGGAGAGATGTCTAGTCAAATGCTATGTCCATTTGAAACAGGGTCTGTCTTAGTTACTGTTTTTTTTTTTTTTCCTGTTTTTTCGAGACAGGGTTTCTCTGTGGCTTTGGAGCCTGTCCTGGAACTAGCTCTTGTAGACCAGGTTGGTCTCGAACTCACAGAGATCCGCCTGCCTCTGCCTCCCCGAGTGCTGGGATTAAAGGCGTGCGCCATCACCGCCCGGCTTTACTGCTATGTCAAAACATCATGATCAAAGCAACTTATAAAAAAAAACATTTAGTTTCGGGCTCATGGTTCCAGAGGGCAGTGGAGTCTATGACCATCATGACTGGAAGCATGGGCGCCAGCAGGCAGGCAGGCAGGGTGCTGGAGCAGCAGCTGAAAGCTTACATGTTGAGACAACAACCATGAAACATGAGATGTGCCATTACACTGGCTCCCCACAGAACTCCCTGGGGCCAGGGATGAACGCCCCAAGCCTCTCTCGCTAGGCAAGTGCTGTACGATAGGACTACTCCCAGCCCTTGTTCACATTTCTGTCATGCAACCTCACTTGAATAGTCTCAGTTTTCCCCTTTAACAACTATCAAACTTAGAAGGATATTTTTATGTTGGGAATTGCACATAAACCCACAGCTACAGTTTGTTTAAAGACTTTATTTCCGGCATGTAACAGCTTACGTGTCATAAAAATCATCAAAGTCATCAGACACGTTATGGTCTCTAGGACGAAGAGCAGCTTCGATGTCAGAGTTGCTGTCATCAGACTCCCCCCAGAAGGCTGGAAGAGAGCAGGACATGGCTCATTAGCATTTGTACTCTAATAGAGGGTTTTCAAAACAGCAAGGCAACCGCCTAGTTGAAGCACTGGCCTGCTAAAGGTCTAAAGTACTGTGTCACCTGTACGAATTTACATATTTCATGCTATGCTCTCCACATTGTTCCAGAGCAATCCTTGAAGAATCCTTCAAGGATTCTTATCTTTCATTAAGTCCAACGCTTTATTATAGGATAGACATCTTCTGTGCCACAATTAGTGAGAGATAGTGGGAATGGAAAGCAGGTGAAGAGAGTACACTCGGGTTAAATGCTAGTAGCTGGTAGGGACAGGAGGAACTGGGTATGGAGAAGCCAGTTAGGGCTACTGCGAAAGTCCTACCAGGCATGGGCAATACATATTCATAGGCCCTGCCTTGGGGGCAGGGAAAGAGAGGCAAAACACTCTGTAGGTAGAAGGCACTAATTCTGACAATCAATTCCAAATAAACTGTACTACCACTGCGGCCCATGGCACCTTCACAGTCCTTTCACTGAAGGCCTTGTTCATGGGCACCTGTGTGCGCTGTCCCTGGGCTCACAGGACATGTCACAGTCCTCACACAAGGACACAGAAGACAAAGACATAACATAACTATTTTGGTTAAGATGAGAAATGACAATTGGCGTCCGTTTATTTCTTACCATTTGACTTTATAGTGGTCACTGGGTCCCTTTTGCTTTCATGCCTATAAAATAAGAAAGTGAAAATTGACAGCTGGTCTAATAGTTTCACAGGGAGCTGCTCGGGAAGAAGCGGTGGTGTTTATGGTAAGGAGAGAAATTTTATATTTCCTTCCCAGGCTCTAAAAGCATAAAAGTGTCAAGGATCGGGGTGGCCATAGGCACTTGTGGGGGGCCCTCCTGCTGAAGGGAGATACAACAGTAGTCGGCAGGGGATGATTTCCGCTCAATAGTCCTCTGCGAAACACTGTGTACAAAGTGTCAGCACTCTGGAGAAAACGTGAAGGGGAATACCTGAAGAGAGTTCAAGATGTTGGGGAGGAAGGTGAGATACTTCAGTCAAAGCAGCAACAACAGTGCTAGCAGTTTAACAAAGGCAGTCACAGTAGACACACTGTGAGAAATAGCAGCTGTTTTAGCTTTCTAGATATCCACTGATAGAAATACTTGCGGCTATGGCCTTTGGTACCTACTGGCCTCCTCTGGTGAATGTAGGAGGGCAGGATAGCGGCTCTTTGGAGTGGGATTTCTCAGTGTGCCTTTCCAGGGCTGTATGCAATTTTATGAACTTAAAGAGCCCTTCTGGGAGCATCACTTACACTCTGTATTGTACCTCAATTCTCCAAGTGTCATGTTGAGGAACATTAGGGAAGAAATACACTTTTTCTATACAAGGTATCACATTTCCCTCTCATGGCCAGAACCCTGTTCACCTTGATGGAAGAACTTTTCATATTCATCCCCCACTTGGACAAGTCTTGACAACCTGCAGTTTACACATATGCCTTGTAATACATGCATCAGCAAAGCAGGCTCTACTAAGGATCTATCCTCTATGCTCTACAGTACCTTACAGCACTCCTTTGCACTTGGTACCCACTGCTGACCAGGATCCAGCAGTAGAGCCCATGGTCATTCTTCATAAAGAAAACATCAGAAAGGAACCAACAGTCAATAGTCATGGTAGCACCCAATGCTACCATGGGGGTGGGCATCAACAAAGTGAGCCTCAAAAATCCTTTTATGTAAGTAAGTACACACACAATGAACCCCATGTGCATTGTGAAATTATTTACCTACTTCCATTATCTAGGAGCTAGGTAGCTGGGTTAGGTGCAGGGAGGCAGAGGTAGATTATAAAAGCTCTGGGAAACCGGTAGTCTTCAGACAGCTGTGGTCTGGATAGTAAGAGGCATAGGAAGAGGGTCAAGTCTATTGCTGGATGGAATTGAGAGGACAAAGAGCTTGGTGACAGAGAGGGCTGAGAGCTGCAGGGTCCCCAGATGGCAAGGTGCTTCTAGTTGAGAAAGAGGACATTGCAGCCCGGACTGAGGAACTGGATGTGGCAGATGAATATCTTGATGCAAGAATCAAACCACAGAGGCAGCCACGACCAGGCCAGGTCGCTACAGCTTCAGTGACTACTATGGGTTCCAGAAACGTGTCCAGCATACATCTGGTAGCTCTACTTGTCCTCCTCCAAAACAATTTGTCGTCAAGCTCAGCAACCTTCAAGTGTGGTCTCCACTCCAACAGGATAGTCCTTTCTCCCACTGCAGAAAGTGGCAATCCCAACTTTCTGATTCTCCCAATGTCCCTTACCAAACATAGTCAATAACTATGCCCTGCCAACTTGACTTCCTGGTAATTCCCAAGGCCCTTACCAATTCCTTCTGTACTTTCACCACTCTGGCAAGCTAACCAGAAACTTCTGCTTGAATGTTTGCAATGGCTTCACTGATGACACCGCACCTAATTTCTTCTCCTGTTATCCAACTTCTACTGGGCAACACGAGTGAGATGCTCGACACATAAATCTTACATTTTCTGATGAAAAACTCTTTAATGTCTTCCCCACTGTTTTTGGCATAAAGCCTAAATGCTGAATGGTACTTCCCAGGGTGGCTCCCAAATGATGCTGAGCTTCCTGACTGTATCCCCATTCCCTTTCCACTGCAGTCCTCATCAAACTGCTGTTTTCCACCCATTCACTCTGCTAACCCATAGCTACTCCTTACCCCATAGGCTGCACGTGAATTAGCCTGTGCTTAGCAATTAGCAGGTGCTTAGGGTGGAATGAATAAATGACCTATTTTAAGCACTGGGTCCTACTGAAAGGCTCATGATCAGTGTTCAATGACACAAAATGTGATCTACATTTTATAATTAACATGTGACTCCAGTATCAGGTTGAGTTTGTTGTCTTCTCAGCAAAGGGAAAAATATCCAGGGGGGGAAAAAAGAGGAAAGAAAAGGAAAAAAAAAAAAAACTCACACAATGCTGCAAATGTGGCCATGGCTGAGTGACTATCCTCCATGCAAGTGAGTGTTTGTAATCACCCAACTCATCAGAAGCAAGTGAACTGAGCCAGCAGCAAGGTCAGGTCCCACTGCGTGGAGGTGACTCACTGAGGGTACCAGGGACCCTCTTGCTTTGTGCAAGGTAGTTTAGGTATATCATCTATCCATGAGGCCACTCGAACTTCCCTTTTCTGTTTGCTCTGGGTTAAGCTGCGTAGTTTTGAATCATTTAAACCATTGGGAGCAGGAAACAATATCAGTGAAATATGAATTAATTGTACAGTGGCTTTTAATTATTAGATTTCTTACAAGAAACCTATTTAAGAACTACATATGCCACAGTTCAACGCTGAGAAAGGTAGAGGATGCTCTCCAGTATTCTCCATTCCACCCTGGTATCTTAGGAACAATATTTTTTTTTTCTCTCGGTAGGAACCCATCTCTAAAAATCAATGTGATACTTTTTATTATGTACAATTCCTAGGGTCAACATTTCTTTCAAGGGTCTCACCAAGCATGTAAAGAAAGGCACAGGGAATGTCTGTCTATGGAATCCTCAACAGAGTCAACTATAGTTTAGTTATGGAGAAAAAATTAGATGTGAAATCCCCCTTTCAGAGTAAGAAACTGGGTTTTACTTTCCAGGCCACACACTTGGGCTATCCGTCCATCAAAGTGTTTATAAATGAATATGGTTGTACCTCAATGAAACTTCATGTAGAGAGAATGGCACTTGAATCTCATGTACTTTCACATGTCATGAAACAGAACTTTACTTTGGGCCCTTTTAAATAACCAATTAGAAGTATAAAAACTAGCTGGGCGGTGGTGGTGCACACAAGCTACTTCCAGGACAGGCTCCAAAGCTACAGAGAAACCCTGTCTCAAAAAACAAAATAAAGCAAAACAAACAAAAAAGAAGTATAAAGACTGTTGGACACAGTGGTTAATCCCAACACTTGGGAGGCAGACGTAGGCAGATCTCTGTGAGTTCAAGACCAGCCTGGTCTTGGGAACTAGTCCAAAAGGAATAATGCAGACCACAGTTTTGCTGCTATTTAAACTTGCAAATCTGAGGATTCTGAGACAGTCCTAGCATTATTGCAATGTGCACACAGACTGTCTCATTAAGGGAAGGTGTAAGTTGGCAACACTAAAGCAGGAAAGGAGGTGAAAGCAACATACTGTAAGGATTCACATGGGCAAGACCTCACCTAGCTCTTCATATTAGCTCCTGAATTTCATAAACACTCAGCACTGTAAGATGCTATAAACATAGAAGGCTGGAAAACTCTGAAGCTAAGAAGCATGCACTCCAAAGAAGACAGGGAGAAACCAGAGCAATAAAAGCCTAAGAGGACACAGCAACACAAAGACCAGGCCAGAGAGTGCGTCCTGTGAAAATGGGATTCCTGCAGGATTCCTCCTAGATTGCAGATGACCTGGATCAGACATCATTGGTCAGCCCAGAAAGAAATGTTTGCAAAGACAGCCTGTTTCCCCAAATAGTCTGTCCGCTTGAAACAGAGTGTTTCAGGAAACAGACTATGAACACACATAGCCCCCAGTGCTGCAATGTTCTCCTCATTTCCAAGCCCCTAACCTGTATAAAGGTTGTAGCCTCCCCGCTCCCAGACCCTTCAGTTCCCCTTGCTGTGTGTGCTAATAAACAGTCTGTTGAAAGTCAGACTCTGGTCTCTTTCTTCCTTCTGCCTCTTTCTGATGCTTCAGAAATCCAACACCAGGGGCTTAAGGTGGTGAGTTCAAGAGCCTGTAGGAAAGTCTGTGGTGTTTCTTCTCGATTAGTGACTGACGTGGGAGGGCAGTACTAACCGCTGGACAGAAGCTCATGGTCGCTTAAGAAAGCAGGGCAAGCCATGGAAAGCCACTCACTAAGCTGCATTCCTCCATGGTCTCTGCTTCAGTCCTGTTCCTGCTGTGAGACTCAGCCTTGATTTCCTCAAGACTGCGGCAACCAAATAATCCCTTTCTTCCCTAAGTTGCTTTTGGTCATGGTAATTATCAAAGCAAACTAGGACACTCACTAAATTGGAAAATCTAATAGAAACAGATGAGTTTCTTGATACAGCCGGCCTACTAAAATTAATGACTAGGTTATGTAGTTACCAGTGGCCACTTTCATGCAGACCGTCAATGAGAAGGAACACATGAAACAAGGAGAAATGTAAAATGTACAATGTGAGGAGAAAAAGAACACAAGGAAAGGTGATGCCGAGTCAAGTCCTGTACTCATGGAGATAAAAAATTTAAAGAAAAGCCTATGCTAAATGGAATAAAGAGAGTGGTAACCCCAGGGAAACCCCAATCTTGCTAAGCTTCCAACTTGTAAAAAGAAATGAAAGGAACTCTAAGGCAGCAATGGGAAACGCCAACAACAGAAAGCTGGGGTAAAGGTAACTGAAAGAGGGGACAAGTTCCAGCCCCAGCAAGCCAGACTTGGTAGTTTCGGCCACGTGCCTCTGACTTACAGTCAAGGACACAAGACAGGGGTTGTGGAATCTCCCTTCACAGTTAAGGAAAGCCACTGAGGCCAGGTGTGTATTAGGGGTGTCCTTGAGTGGAGACCAAGAAAGGTCACTGTGTGAAGCTGTGAAGGTGAAGCCTGGATTGTGTTAGAGACTCCCAAGATGTTGATGCCAGATTTGTGGGATACCTGCCAACAAGAGCTACAGACTGGGTGTGG